TTCAAGGTCAACAGGCATTTGGGTGACTTACAAACCATTTGATTACATGCCTTCTGATGATGTAAGAAAGTAATTTCCTTCTCCTAGTTAGAGGCGACTGTGCTAAAGGCTTAAGACGGCAATCTCCTGTCATGACTTGAAAATGGCTTTAAATAATTTTTACTTAATGAGGTGCTCTGGGACACTAACTTGGCTTTTGGACTTGTGAGACAAAGAGTATCTTCTTTGTCTACCATAATGTTTTTATTTTTTTGATTGTGTGAATGATACTTTGTGTAATACACACTATAGAAAAATACTGGAACAAAAATTCTGTAAGTCATCAATCCCAGAGGCTATATTTTGCTACTCTTAATCATAGTCTCATCAGTTCTTTTGTAAGATTTAAGTGACTCCAGTATTTAACCATTTTTAATTTGGGTTCTTAAATTAAACAATTGCAACAATTTACCTGTAAGCAAAGTTGATTTCCTTTCTCCAAGGAATGCTTCCAGCACTACAGCTGATGCTGCCTTATCACTGATTATTGCTTCCCTATTACTCCTGCATTATTGTATCCCCACAGTATTACAGCAGGGTAGTGATGTAGTTCTCAGGTTTCTTCTTTTGCCTGCAAAGGCATTTTTAAAACATGACTAGTTTCCTTTTTCTTTGCATTCAGCAACATTTAGAAAATTAACTTCTCTCCTTTTGTTTCTCTCCTTTAGGGAGTCTCTGATCCAATTTGTCATTGTGTGCAATCTGTCTGTTTAGAATGCCTTTCTGTTTTTTTCAGTCTGGTGTTATATGAATGTAACTGTATAACTCACAAGTGTTATGTAAATATACACATACCTAAATATCTGTAATTTTTATGTTTTTAAAGTGGAACATTAATTCTGTGTCTTACATTCACATAGAAGATGCTAGAAATACATCACATAATTCCAGGTGAAAATACCTTCAGACTTGTTCACATGAAGTGGAGACATAGTAAAAGTATATGAGAGTTCTATATTTGGAGAACCTTGCAGAACACTGATGAAGTACTTGCATTAGATTTTAACTCTGAATAATTACAAAAAATTTTAGAACTATGAATAGGCATAACATATGTGACCTTGACTGAAGTTTGTCCTTCTCTGTGAAGTGCAGGACTCAAATCTACAGAAAGGTTTGATCACTCTTTTATTAAATTCTCTTTTTATTGCTAGCATCATTCTCCATTCAGATGAGGAGTAGTATCTTGAAATCAATGCATGATTATTACAGCCAGATTGTCTGAAATCAGCCAAGAGTGTGCGTACATACCCTTTGAATTGTGCTGTTCAGCTGTCCTTTCTCTTCTCCCTTAATTTATGTTCCTCACTTTCTGGAGTGGAAGTATACATAGCCAAGCACAGAGGCATGGACAAATACCTCTGTATCTTCCAAATTAGAAGTGAAGTTTGCATTAAATAGATTTCAATATTGCAAGCATATAAAATGTACATGGAATCCTGTACTAGTTTCTGTGTCATTTTATTATGTCTGACCTTAATTGTTATTCACAGCATGTGGTTGAGGCCTTTTCATGTTCTGCAGTGTTTGATATCCATCATAGTTTGAACCTAGGCAAAGAACTGTAACAATGTCATCCTCATAAATGCAATTTTGAACTGTCAATATTGTTATGAAATAGAAATGTTTTACTGTATCTGTGTCTTTGTGACTAGCGGTGTTTTCTGCCTTTCCTGTTTTTACCTCCTAAATCTCATTATATGACAGGTAAAGGTATTATAACTTTAAAACATATATATTAATTTTCATGGAATAAATTCTCACAGCTAAGGTCACAGGAGGTCGATAAGGATCTTCTGTGTCCATAAGCATAACCATTCCACTGAGATCTGCAGAGAAATTTTTCTCTATGTTTCACTTTAGGATTTCTTCTGCTGACAGGTGACAATGTTATCAAGTATGTATTCCATAATGATGTCTCAATGTTTTTAAAAAATTCAGTCATAAAATAACATTACCTCCTCTAAAATGGCAAAATCAGATTTTAATGCCTGTGTTTAGCTCAACGTTTTTCTGTTCTCACCTTTTAAATTGAATCAGTACTGAAGGTATAATTTTTCATGAATTGCCTTTCTGCATATAGAATTCTTTTTGAAATCTATGAAAAGCGTACATAAAAATGGAGGAGAAAAGACCATTGCTTTTTTCAGCAGATTTTGAAACTTTGACATGTATTTGATATGTATCTTACAATTGAAATATTTAAATCCATTGTAAATTTATTCTTTTTTTTGTAAACCCACACAGCATTCGAGAAATCTGATATTATCATATTTTTTATTTCAGTCGCACTGGTTACTATTAATCTTTATTCTGAGTTTTCTAAATATCTAGATTTCTTCATGACTGATGTAACACTTCTAAGATCTCACTGCATTTGCAGGCTAATCACAAGAATCAAATGCACTGGAGCTGTACAGTACTTTGAAAGTTTGTCCCTTCATACCAAATAGTGCATTTGCTAAGTGCAAACCTGCATTGTTGTGGTAAGACAGACGTACAGACAGACATAAATTGGCCTTCCAGTATCAATTCACAAATCTAGTATCTGTAGCTTGCAGAGTGACCACAGGTAAAAGAAATGGTATGTGCTCATGGTGCATACATTGAATTCACGGAATGTTTTTTTAGCTTAATTCAACAGTGTATGACTTTCTCTTCAATAGTATTGCAGAGCAGATAAGAACTGTCTGTAAATGTGGTGAATTCACCTTAGCCAGCTGTGAGACCTGCACCCAGCTATGCTTTTGCTCTCCCTCTTCAACAGCACAAGAAGAGATAATAAGATGAAAAAGGTTGCAAGTTCAAATGAAGATGGGGAGATCCCTTGCCAGTTACTGGCACTGGCAAAAGAGGCAAAACTGGGGGGAAATTAATTAATTTTATTGATATTTAAAAGCAGACTAGGATGGCAAAAAATATGCTGTCCCACCCCCCTTTCCTCAGGTTCAACATCTTCATTCCCAACTCCGGTATCTTCTCCTCCATGAGTGGTACAGATGGCATGAGGAAGGACAGTGTGTCCATGACAGTTCCTCTCTGCCACACATTTTTTGTCACACTTTTTTTGTGCAGATGTGTGGGTCTCCATGGTCTGCAGCCCTTCAGGATAAATCTGCTCCAGCATGGGACTTATGTGAGCATTAGTTCTTCTAAGGAGAATCTGCTGCAGTATGAGCTCTCTGCAAGTGAGCGTTTCTTCAACAAATATCCAGCTTGCCTTGGAGTCGTCTTCTCCAAGTGGGCTTCAGGAAATTGCCTCTTTTATCATGGTCTTTTTTTTCCATGGGTTCCTCTCTGTTCCTGGTGCCTGGAGCACCTACTCCCTCTTCTTCTTTTCTGACCTTAGAATTTCTAGTGTTCTTTCTCACATTTTTACTTTTACTCCTCACTGCCTGGGCCATGTTTTGCCCTTTCTTAACTAAGCTTTCACAGAAGCACCACCTGCTTTACTGGTGAATTCAGCTGTGCCCTGCAGTGAGTATATTGAAGAGCAACCACTTCTTGCTGACATCAGCCCTGCAGTTATCCCCAGAGCCAAAACCTTGTCATCAACACCCAGTGTAATAGGATAGAGAGAAAGAAAATAAGGGATAAAAACCACATCCATAAAGACAGAAAACTATTTTGGTTTATTGTGTTCCTTAGTGTGGTTAACTTCTTTATTTCTTTTAGTATCAGATCAGCTACAATGAAACTAATTTGTGACTATCACTTTTCTAAACAGTTTCAGTAGAGCACTTTTATGAAACATAAACTGAAGGTATTGTGAGGAGGATGTAGAGTGGCTTTTTGATCACTAAAAAACATATACAGTGAAATCAAGCTTGTATTTTTAAACTTTTGAAAGAAGGAAGGGGGCAAAGAGCAGTGCAGATGAATGGGTTTTCAGTGTGTGTATATAGAGTTCAGGCTGCCAAAAATACCTTTCTTACATTAGGGAACACATAATGTACTTTGTCTTCTCCCCCATTATTTTTGAATAATCTAATTTTAAAAATTCTGCAAAAGTATTTTTCCCCTCTTACCTGTTTACTGAACAGCCTTGGTAGGATTCAAAGTACAGTTGAAGTGATGGGAAGGTCTTCTCTCTGAAATTGTATCTTCTTGGTACATATGGGTTATGTTCCTCTCTAAAAGAAGTCTGTTTGCAAGGTCTTGCAAATCTCCACTCTCACCTAGTGGCAAGTACTGCTTGATTGGCTATTTATTTCTTAAATCATCAGGCACATAATTTGCTAAACAGTGTGAAATGTTTTAGTACCTTTGTTCCTGAGTGCCAAGTTGAAGGCCTTGATTGTGCAACAGCCAACATGTGCATTTAATTTTCAGCTACTGGATATCCTTGGGCCACTCTGATATTTGCTGGCTATTATTTTTCATATTTTCACCATGAGATATCTTCTTGAGTCTTTGTGCACTTTCTCATGTAGTTTTATATTTTATATTTATTATTATTATTATTGATTATTATTGGTGCCTTGAAGAAAGCTTGAGTACTTCTACAGAAGCTATAATATCACCTTGGCTGAAGCTTAACAGGAATCTTAAGAAATATTTTTACTTTGTAATTTAGTTATCTATTCAAAAACAGCTAAATGCTTCTCAATTTTATGAATTTAGAGTAAACAACTGATTTTGAATGGACAAGGGGTCCAGACTTTTTTTTAAATAAAATATTAAAATTTAAAATATATGAGGAATTCTGAATTAATAATGAATGAATGAAAATTCAATTTCATGTGCAGTTTTAAAAATAGTGTATTAGAAATTCTTTTTGTCTTAACCAGAGTTGCATTTCCTTTCATAGTGATGTAAATAATGTCATTTTCTAAGATGGCATTTTTAAAAAAAATTTTTAGTGGTCTTTGGCAGCATAGAAAACTGTGATAATTTAAAATGGAATTATAACAGTTTTTTGAACAATGTACTAAAGTTAACCTTATATTTTATAATTTCAGTTGTTCATGGTGGACAATGGAGCAGATGACTGGAGAATAGCCATGACTTATGAGCGTATTTTCTTTATCTGCTTGGAAATACTGGTGTGTGCTATACATCCCATACCTGGGAATTACACATTCACATGGACAGCCCGGCTCGCCTTTTCTTACGCTCCATCCACAACAACAGCTGATGTGGATATTATTTTATCTATACCAATGTTCTTAAGACTTTATCTTATTGCCAGAGTTATGCTTTTGCATAGCAAACTTTTCACTGATGCCTCATCTAGAAGCATTGGAGCATTAAATAAGATAAACTTCAATACCCGTTTTGTTATGAAGACTCTAATGACAATATGTCCAGGAACTGTACTGTTGGTTTTTAGTATCTCATTATGGATAATTGCTGCATGGACTGTCCGAGCTTGTGAAAGGTAAGGTTGATTTTTTTTTTCAGTTCTTTCTGTTTGTTTTTCTATTTTTTACTCCTGCTTTGTCTCTTAAATTTTGAATTCAGGGGACTTAAACATTGTTAGAATGCAGGTCCCTAGTCCTTGATAATTTGAGTGTTGGTAGCGTTGAATTCTGTGACAGACATTGTCAGGAGTGATTTGCCTCTTAATCTGATGGACTTCTGCAAAGAGATCTGTGCCCCGCTGTTTACTTGTAGCACTACAATTTCATTTCAGTGTGTTGACATATTTAACACACTGGACAGATACCACAAAATGCCTTTAAGAGTAGTTGTTAATATTCTGCATTTATACCAATTTTCATTTATTTTCTTTGTGACATAAATGTAGTGAGGATAATACAGAAAAAATAGCCAGGGAAAATGCTTGGGGGGATGTGTAATTTGAGTGTTGTGCTGAAAAAAGAAAGAGAGTGCAAAATGCAGTTGAGTACTTGGCAAGATCAGTAAAGGGGAACAGGCAGAACACTCACAGTAATATAACTCCTTCTTCCAATGAAAATCAGAAAGTGCATTTGAGAGTGTGACTTTCAATTTCAGCTAGTTTTCCAACCTCCCTTTACCACAGACTTCAATGTAGGTGCCGAATAAATGGCTAGTGCTGACAACTTGAAATTGAATTTTTCAAATATGTCTTTAAGAAAAAAAAAGGGCTTCTGATTGGATAGGATTGCTTAGGAATATGAGATAGGTTAACTCTAAGAAGACAATTAGAATGATTCTTTATAAAAGATTTAATGCCTTGGAAGGCTCTTAGATCTTGGAATTGATTTCTCCTCCTTAAGCTGAAAAATCATCAACATATTTAAGGCATTTCTACTTCTTCTGTTTGTTGACCATTTTGTTTTTTCTATTCTATTCCATGTCTGTCCATTTTAGAATCAGTTTAGGGAAGTTACTTGTGACAGCTAAATGATTCAAGTCAGCAGTAAAATCAAACACCGTTCTGCATTTTCAAGTTACTGCTTTCATTCATTTTCAACTTGTTAAAAGGAAAAATACCTGATCTTAAAAATAACTGTAGGAATCATGATTTTGTAGTTTTATTGTTAAAATTTCTTTGTATCAATATTGTTTCCTCATATTACAGCTTGACTAATAGTTTAAGAATATTCTGAAAATACGATGTTAAGACACAATGACATATTACAGTTTCAGAATATTCCCCATAGTGGCAGTGAAGGAGTACCCTAGATTTTTACTCAATCTGTAGCAGCTGTGTTTTCATAAGTGTGTTCTTGTTTCATATATAACTGAATTCTGCAAAGTCTCTCCTCTTTATCTCATATTCTCCACTTCTCTTCCCACCAGTTTTCTTTCAACACAATCGCTGCTCAGGAATTCTTGAATGTCTACTCAGGCATTTCCCAAAGTGTTGGTTTGAAGTGGCTCTGAATAACTTCAGCATCCATTGCTATCATTACATATAACTGCTTGATAATGATGGTGATGAAATAATAATTTTTTATTAACTTTTTTATACATGTGCTTTCAAAATAAGCTAGTACAACTCAGTGAAAATTACTGAAAAATATTTGCTACTGTCTGATACATGTCTGTAAAACATATTTATTTGCTAGCATACAGACTGGAGGACAAGAATGTATAGTATATAAGTAACACTAAAAATAAAAGAAACAAAGACCACCTCACTGATTTTTCAATCAAGGGGAATGATGACAGCACTCTTGTAAAGTTTTGAGTTTTTTAGTTTGCTTATTTATATTTAGAAAGTGACACACTTCTGCATCACTGTTGTTCTGGGAATAAGATTATTTATTTGGTTAGGTACACTGAAGTCAGGGTTGCAAAAAGCTGAATTTTCTTCAACTCTCTGCTAAGTTAGTAATGTATTTTCCACATTTTAATTTGCAGTTGCTGTCCTTGAATTGATTGTAATAGTTTGGACAGTAGGCTGAGTAGCTACAGACTCCTCTAAAACTGAAACACAACACAACTAAAAGCAAGTTAAATATAAAAGTTAGTACTAGGTTAATATATCTCTAGCATAATTGCCTTCTGTCACTGGATCCCAGTCCAAGATTCATATTTAAAAAAGGAAAAAAGTTAATTTTATGTTTCAGAAACATTAAAAAGAATATATTTTGGCTTTTGGAATTAGATACTTATGTCATTCATGCTAGTTGCACAGCCAGTTTTTTGTGTTTTGCTTCCAGTTTTTGCTTGAGGGAATATGTAAGTATTTTGCCAAACAGATGATACTGACCCTGGATTCCAGTTACTAGTCAGCCCATCAAAACCATTTAAATCTTTAGCCCCTATAGAGGTATGAGGTAAGATAAAAGTTCTCAGAAGAAAACCTCAAAACCCCATACAATAGCCATTTATCATGAGAAAGGACAAATATGGCCACTGAATAATTTCTGTTCTGTGTAGAAATCACAGTCCTCAGATGTGTCCCAAGGTCCTTATGGTTTTGAATTGCTTAGATGTTAAAAGTGTAGTTTACACAAATGAGGTACATTTTTTCCCAACTCCTCTTGACTTTTTTCTTAGTTTTAACTCAAGGGAACCTTTTTTTATTTTAAGTAGACTATTTTTTGTACACAAAAAATAAATTTTTGTACACAGATCCTGAAAATAAATTCTATCATTAAGAGTCTTTTCCATTTGCTGCTATATATGAAAACATAACAAATTTTAATACATCTAACAGAAATTAGGAATTAGGCAGCAACCTGGTATCTTTGGTTTGAAAAGGGGTGATTTATATTAATAAAATTTGATGGTGTTAACTTTTTCTTTGCATCACTCCAGCACCATGCTCTAGTTTCTCTTATATAGTAGCATTACATGATTTTGCATTAGCAATATTTCTTTGGTGTATTAAATCATTTAACTGACCATCCAAATTGGAACAAGATGATGGTGATAAGTCATAATAGATTAAAATATTAAGATTTCGGAATGGAGAGGAAAGATTCTCATTCTGTTCCGTGTTCTCAGTGAGGAGGGAAGTCACAGTAGGCAGTGTCCTTTATTGTGGAGTTGTGTGTGCTCAGAAAAAGCTGTTGCTGCTGAATGACAGCCTGGTGTTCAGATTGTTCTATTCAAAGTTAAGTTTTTATATTGCAGACAGTCCTGGGAATAGGAAGGGAGATTGAAAGCCCCACATTTCATAGGAAGATAACATGAAAGAGCATCATTATCCGTCTCTTGAAAGATAACCTGTGGAGACAGGTCATGGGATGAGCCAGGCAAGTTGGCTGTCTGAATAAAGACTTCACTTCATTAATGGTCATCTGACTGATCACTTGATATACACTGAACTAAGACAGGGCATGTGTCTTTCTCAGTGCCTTAATGACTGTATAGTTAGCTCCCAGAATGCTAATTATAGCAAGTGACATTTTGGGTTGGTGAGCAAGGTATTTTCCATGATTGGAGTGTAAGGTCATGTATGAGGGCAGAAAGTGGTACAGATAATGGTGGTGGACAACCAGCTGAGTATAAATGGGTTGCTAGGGCTGCACAGTAATCTAGATGAGGGAATTTGGAAGGTAAAGGTGGGGAAAGCATCAAGTGTTGCTGTATACATAATGTCTATTTTGAGAGGAAGATTGCATTGCATAGGTTTCATCTTGCCTTCTCATTGCCAGTAGTAGTATATTGCTGGTTTTCATGTCTAGGCTTCATAATGAAAAGCTAATTTTTTTATTGGGTCGAACTCAAAAGATGTTTGTATTTATAACATCTCTGAGGCACATGATCTAGAACACTTACGAGTATATTACTTTCACATTTGAATTATGAGCCCTACAAGCAGATTAGTTTTTGCAGTTTCCCATACATATGTTGTTACTCAAAATGGATTTGTGCATGGGCATCAGTTGTTTATTTCAGTTAGAAAAGTTTGGTTTCTCAAGAAAAAGAAAGTCAGTATGTTTAGCATTAAGTCATGGAAGAATCTGACTAGAAGAAGAATCTGAGTAGAAGAATTCTACTCTTCTGTAGAATGGGTGTCTCTTGTCTCTTCTGTGAGAAGTCGGCCACTTTTCTAGGTTGTGTGAAAGGTCGCCACTCTTTATGATCTGGGTTTTTTATGGAAGGAAGAAAAAATATTGTCTTCTGAATACACTCATGGGTATAATGTGCCTGTTTCTTGTGTACCAAGCAGTATGAACCAGAAATGCCCACATTACACTGTTGTATGTACAGAGCATATCATATCACATGCCTGGCATTTCTGTGGATTTGCAGAGGAGAACTGAGAACAGAACTGGATTTTCTTCTGCAGAGAGCACACTTTTGGCACCATTTGTTGTTCTATTTGTTCATCTCTTTGACTTTTGGCAATGAAATCAGTTCAGTTTGAGCAGTTTGTTTTAGTCAGCATTTCTCCCTCTTGTCAGTTTCTGCTCTGTATTCTCTCCTTGTTTTAACAAAAACAAACTCAAAAAACACACACATATGCAAAATCCCATCTGTGTGTGATGGTGAAATATTTTTCTGCTTTCTGCTCATTCTTGTTTTCTACAAATAAATGTCTGTCTTATTTCTTGGAAATATGATACCATTACAAAGTTTCCAGTAAGCAGCTCACACATGACAACTGGGAGGCAAATGTTAAGGATTCATTTGATACAAGCTAGTGGATACACTGACACTTCAGTTGTAATTCATGAAGGAAAAAATGTTTCTTAGCTATCTAATTTCCTCTCAGTATGTATTTCAGTTCTTTACTTGTATTGAGGACCTTATCTGACGTTGTATGTTGCATGCATATTCACAAGGCCACCTTCTAATGGAAATTGCTTTTTGCATTCTCTGCAGTGCCAGTGTGAAGATTCTTGTTCTTAGTTTAAAAAAAGCAACCAAAAAAAACCCAGAAAAACCCCAACAAACAAGCATATAAAACCCACCCACAACAAACCAAGCCTGGATATTTATTTTAAGGCTATTTTTAGGCTCAGAAGGTCAGAAGCAATGACACATGATTTT